AAAATGCAAAGAAAACCAACAAATAAAATAAACTCAGTGCATAAAATTATGTGGAACAAGGAGACCAGCAGCATCAAAAAAAAGCATGGCAAAATGACAGCAATAAATTCATATCTATCAATAAATTATTCTGAATGCAAATGAATGCATATACCACTCAAAAGACAGAATAGTAGAATGGATAAGAAAGCAAGATCCTTAAAATGCTGTCTACAAGAGACATGCTTTAAAAACAAAGACAAAAGTCAAAGGATGGAAAAAAAACAACAGTAATCAATAATGAAAAGAAGTGTCAATATAAATCTCTGATAAAACAGGCTCTAAAACAAAAACCAGTGTAAAAGAAAAAGGACATTATATCGTAATTAAAGAATCAATTGAAAAAGAGAACATTATTATAGTAAATATGTATGCTTCCAATGAAAGAGCTTCAAAATACATAAATAAAATTCTAACAGAACTGAAAAAGAATAGACAACTCTACAATACTAGATTTTAATACATCACTTTCAATGAAGCACAGAACTAGAAAGAAACTCAACAAACACACAAAAGAACTAAAAAACAAATCAGCCAATTAGACCTTATAGGCTTATGCAGAGCATTAGACCCAACAACAGCACAATATGTGTTCTTTTCCAGTGCATATGAAACATTCTCCAGAATAGACCATATGTCAGGCCACAAAGCAAGCCTCAATAAATTGCAAAACATCAAAATAGTACAAAGCATCGTCTCAGATCACAATGCTATCAAATTGGAAATCAACAATAGAAAGATCAAGAAAAAAAAATTCAAGTACACAGAAATTTAATAAACACCCTGCTTAAAAGTTACTGGGTAATAGAAGAAATTTAAAAGTGAATTCCTTGAATAAAATGAAATCAAATATGCAACACACTAAAACCTTTGGAGCACAGCAAAAGCAGAGCTCAGGGGACAATTTTAAAAAACGCACACATGCAAAAAGAAGAAACAGCCAGAACTTACACCTTAATCCAACATCTCCAACAATTAGGAAAAGAGTAACAAAGAAAACCTACAGTCATCAGATGTTAAGACATAATAAAGGTTAAAGGTAAAATAGAGAACAGAAAAACAAAACAAAGAATCAACAAGACAAGAAGTTGGTTCTTCTCATGATGACAGAGAGAAAAGGAAGGGCTGGTTGGTCCACAGTATA